ATACTATATATATATATATATATATATATATATATATATATATATATATATATATATATATATATATATATATATATATATATATATATATATATATATATATAATATATATATATATATATATATATATATATATATATATATATATATATATATATATATATATATCAATATATATATATATAGATATAGATATATATAATATATAAATATATATATATATAATTAATGTACGAACATACCTGTGATATGCAGTTGCTCTTGGGAGAATGAGGAGGTGACGATTTTCCCAACGGAGTGCTGTGCGAATAGACATAGAATGGTTAACACACGCAATTGCATTTAACACTGTCTAAAACAACAGATATATGGCTTTCCAGAAGGTTGTAAGACATAGACGATACCTAAGCTCCGATTGAGGTATGGGAGTCAAAGTAATCACGAAGTTTGTGAATAGATAAACTATAGAATGAGAACATAAACATATGAATGGATTTCACTATAGGACAGGTAAGTATTGATAGGTTGTGAATAGCCTGACTATAGGATGAGAATGGTGTTTGTTTTAATAGACTTCACCATAGTATGTGTGAGTATTTATAGGTTGTGAACAGACGAACTATCGGATGAGAATATAACGTAACTATAGTATGTGTGAGTATTTATAGGCTTTGAATAGCCTGACTATATGATATATAGGCTGATTAATGAACATAAATCAACTCGGTATATTAACATAGCCCATAATATCACCTCTCTCACTGTTAACATCCATACCTTGGACTGAGGAGAGAATTGGTGGATGCGGTTGAACCTGTGCGCGCGTGTTTTTTGGCGGGATAGTAGTCTGTGGCAATTGTGGTCGACACCCGTGGCTCTAGCATCAGGGACATCTCGAAGGCTTCCTTTTCATCCATCACGTACGTCTGAGTGTGTAGGTAGATGTAGGTGCGTGTAGGTAGGTAGATATAGGTATGTGTAAGTAGGCAGATGTAGGTATATGTATGCGAGTATAGTTTATTGTGTATGCACACGTGTATATCTATTGTAAACACTGAACACGAACAGGCACGTAACTTGAAATATCAAACTCTCTGTTGTGTAAGTGTCTGTGTTCTGTTGGTACTATCTAATATAACCCTAGACCCTACCACACACTCTCTCGTACCTACTTTTGCGGCGTGTAGTAGGCTGCACAGGCAGTGGTCTGGTGTGTAGGTGTATGTCTTCTGTTGATACTGTTTGATGGTGTGTATGACGTGATAGGCTAGTCGACATCTGGTGAAGTTGATGAGTAATCGCGTTGTTTCGTCGTGATTGACGATGACTCCTTCGTGTGGGCTGTTTGGCCGTGTGCTCTCATCAGCTGTGTAGATAGAGTAAGTGTGTAGGTAGAGTAGATGTGTCGGTAGAGTAAGTGTGTAGGTAGAGTAGATGTGTCGGTAGAGTAAGTGTGTAGGTGATGTGTCGGTAGAGTAAGTGTGTAGGTAGAGTAGATGTGTCGGTAGAGTAAGTGTGTAGGTAGAGTAGATGTGTCGGTAGAGTAAGTGTGTAAGTAAGTATGTGTGTAGGTAGAGTAGATGTGTAGGTAGAGTAGATGTGTAGGTAGAGTAA